AAAGCTGCAAAAGCCATAAACACGATTTGTTTTGTGCTTGGCAAAAAGAGGGGCAAAGGATTGCTGAGCAGTATCCTGTCAGGATTGCGAAACTGAGACGAGCGAATGATGTCACACACATGGACTACGCAAAAAAACGAAACACTATATATACGACTTTGGGTGGAAGTAGTTTTTCAACTGTGCTTTATAGCAAACACTTTTAGGCAGAGAAAGTAAGGTCCGAAGTTAATGGTCTTTTTTAGAAATTAATCACTGCCTTGTATGGTTTATCATAAGTCCAGATCACTGAGCATTTTGTTCACAAATTTAGTTTCATTACGCCAAGTTTGAAAGGATAATAATATTTGGATAATAAATTTGAATAAGAAACTTATCGTCAAAAAGAACTGAAGTAACTTTTATTGATACCTAAACTTTATTTATATTAATATTATGATTATAAAAGAGGGGCTTATCTTTCTCTATAACTTTAGTTAGTTATAAATACATTCTCATCATAATTTTTACTGATATCAAGTTTATGGATATAAATCTTTTCTTTATGAATGGGTATTTTTGGACATCCTTCAACAGAAACGCTATTTAATGGTCAAATGATATTTGAAAAAGATTAATCCTTACACTTATTTTTAAATCTTGATTTAATTTTCGGTGTATGCGATTTCGGCCTAGGTGCAGGACTTTGAACCGAAAGTCCTGCGGCGCTCTGTGTGCGAAATTAGCCAGGCAAATATGTCGCACTTAACTGCTAACGGAAGTGTAGCAGCACGTCCACAGAGGAGAGGTCGCGGGGTGCGATGGGTGGGTGGGGTTTTTGTGGGTGGTTTTTGGGTGGTGCGAGGCTGGGGCTCAAACAATGGTCTGTGCAATTGTCGAGGCCCCAGGCAAGGGGTCAGGCGGAGAGATAACTGTCCCTATCTCTTTCAGTTTCCCCCTCAATTGTCGACGTTTGCGCTTTTCCGGCGGCTGAGGAAAACGGGGGGGAGGGAAGGGAACTGGCGGGCGTACGAGGATGTGACACAAATGCGTCGAATTATTGTCATATGAGGTCACTGTCCCTGTCGCGCAGTGAAAGTTTTCCGAGACACTCGGGCAAACAAACAAACAAACAAACACATTCGAGCCTTGTTTGCTTGCCACGTTTGCCTCTTGTCTATTTTCTAAGGGCCAGAAGTTAAGCAAAGTTTGCTCGAACATGGCCACAAGTACAACTCGTACTACGATGTAACTACCATGTATCTGCGGCTTGTTGCGAAATTCTAAAGGAGCCTGTTGAAAGGGAACGAGGATGTAGACGGTGCGTTTGTTTTACCAGCTCCGAATCAATTCGAAGCCCGGCACCCGTATATTCGTTAGTATTATGGATGGCTGGATCCACTGCTCCTTTCACACTCATAAAATATGAATAGACGGGGTCGGAATTTATTCGAGGGAGCCCCTGTGAGTCGAATGAAATATGCCAGTTCAGTTTATGAAACTGATTGGGCAACGAGAAGTCTCCACTTCGATTCCTCGTTAAAGTTGTGGGGCCTGCGAGAAAGCCAACTTTTGCTGGAGAAACTATAGATACTGGCATATACTTTTGTAAGAGTACAGTGAAAAAATAAGCTAAGTTTCTCGTATTAATTAAGTATTTTTGCATACTAAATTACCCTTTTTAACAAAACATTGGAAGGGGGATTAAGCTAAACGAGAATCCTTGAATTTTTGAATTTTAAATTACAACAAAACATGAAATGGGTTTTAGGAATTTTTAATTTAACGATCTATTAACGTGACAATGATATTTGCGAAATGTCAAGAACAAAAGGTGATTTATTACATTGTTTTGTTATACTTAACTATTTTCAGCCATTCATCAAATGGGATATTAATCTATCATCGTAACATTTTTCAGTGGCATTTGTGTATATTAAAATGATATACAAAATTCCAACTATCGAAATGTTTAATGGTCATTTATAGATTTTATGGCGCTGAATTGTGCATATCTTCTTTAATAATTTATTTGCACCCAAGCGAAATTTTCAAACCATTAAATTTTGTCCATAAATGGGGTAATATTTTATATTATATGGCACTCATTTTGGTATTAAACATTTAATGGTTCTACTTTTAGAAACATATTAAGTTGCTTCCATTTCCTGGTAAAATACTGACCAAAAGGTAAAACTTTTACCATTTCTTTCGGTGTTTTGTGATTGTGATTGCAGCGCACTTTAAGCCATCCAATCAATGGCTTTCATTAGAAGGAATATTCATCTTTGGCATGCGATTTGCTAAGTAGACCGACTGTCAGGCAGGACTATCACCCAATCAATAATTCATAACCACACATTGACGACGCGTTCGCCTTGCAATAAAATGAAAAGCGAAATGAAAAACTGCCCGACCAAATGCTTGCCAATAATTCAACGTTGGTTCAGGGTCCCGGCTTCTGTTCCTGACTTTATCAATGGTGAATCGGACGGCGAATGTATATATATAGATGTATATATATATATCATGCCCCTCGACCACACAATGAATGAATGCCAAACGGCGCCGGGCTTCGATGTCGTTGTCGATTTCGATGTCGCCGCCGAGTGTCGGACATTTCGTCCTTTTATTTTCCCTTTTTCACATTTTCATTTGTCCTTTTCCATTTTCCCTTTTAGCTGGTGGCCTGCTCATTTTTTGCTGCTTCCTTTGCTTTATTATTGTTACTATCTTTCGGGCGGTTTTTCCACGCTCTCTCGATAATGTCGCTGCTCTGTCCCAGCGAGGCATGAAATATTGATGCCTCACTCCCCGGACTTTGTGCCCGGCATATTAAGCGTTCACATAAAGTTTATTATACAGACATATGCTCTGTGCATGACCAACGGCCCCGGGGCACTTTATTTTAATTGATTTTTGTTGCGGTCTTCCCACTTTACAGGGAATTCAAAAAGGAACTCGCTCCTTCTGCACTTCATCAACCCACAGAGTCTGTATTTCCGCGATGCAATCCATTTTCCCCACTGCTCATTACTGGCTGTTTACATGCTGATTACGATAAGCTTGCACCCCTTCGGAGCTATAATTAATAATTTTTGTGGCTTATGGTTTTTTGTGCCGCTGCTTACAGTTTCCTTACTCGAAAACAAGTTGCACTCTGAGAAAAAGATAGTCCTGTGGTTCACAAGATTTCTACAAGCTATTTTGAGTTTTAACACTAACACTTATATATCATTTTTACAATTAAATTGAAAGAGATACATGTTGGGAATCATAATAGGTAAGTTCACCATCGATAAGCTTAAATATAATATTAAAAAAATGTTCAATGGTTTATAACTAAGCCATGGTTTTGGAAGCTTTAAAAATCTAAGTTTAACTAACTAAATAGTTTTCGAAAACATAACAATTATATGTGTTAAAATGAAAGAATTATATTCGATTAAATTTTGAGTCTGATTTTACTTTTATATTACGAATTTATTACATTATTTTGGGCATTCCTTTATTTTTTTAGACCTTAATACTAACATAATGATACAAGTAAAAATTAGAGAAGTATTTAAATATAGAGCCTGATTATACTTTCATACTATTTACTTTATGTAAGCTCCAAACCAGTAAAATCAGCTTTAAAGTTGTTTAGTATGTTTTAAAGTAATTAAGCCCGGTCTTATATTTATAGTAACTATTTTATCAGTGTGAGCTTACGCGTTGGTAGTCTGCTGATGTCAGCACCGCTGAGCTAACCGAGCCGGGAATTAATCAAAAGCCCGCTCATTGTTTGTCCTGCACAGAGTGCGATCAAAGGGCGCACGAGGATAAACAGGGCGCGGTCAGGGGTCCTACGCAAAACCAAAGGGATAAAGGACATGGGAGGGGGGCGAAAGGTGGCATAAGGACTGTAAACTGAAATGGCTGCAAACATTCAAAAGCTGATAACGTGACCAACTTGGAAATCAATTAAAGTGCAGCAGGGAACGGCGATTCGGGTTCTCTGTCGAGTGTGTGGTCGAGTGTTCTGGCCAACGGGGTGTTTGCTCCCTGGCTGGTAAAACTTAATTATGGCGGACGGATGTGGCCCTGCATGGAGCGGAAGTGTGTGCCTGCACATGCCACGCCCACTCATTGCACTCATCCGCCCCCTCGCACCCCCTCTCACTTCAGTGTCCACTCCACTCCTTTTTCCACTTGGCGATGGCGAACACGCCTCGGCAATTTTTCGAACATATTTCTGCTGAGTTACACCCACTTCTCATTGGATTTCCCCTTTTCCGGAAAAATGTCGCCCTAGCATTTCGAGGATTTAATTAAAAGCCCAGCAACTTAAAGATGCCTTACGGAGGATTATAAATTATAGTTGGAATTATGGAACTGCTCCTAAATGATTTAGGATAATTGAGCTGGGGGGAAAGTCATACCGCTATGAAGTCATAAATTGTGTTCACGGAAGCTGAACGTATTTAATATAGATAAAAAGGTTCACGATTAAACTTAAAGTTTACTTATTAAATGGGGATTACTTTTAAAAGTCTAGGTCGATTTAGGAGCCTTTGTTTTTGTATTTTTTGAAAAATGAATACTATTCTCGATTAAGATTCTCGTAAAATAAATAAATATTATATTATTGTTTATTTGTGAACCTTTTAAGTGTGATATTTTATTGAACAGATAACCTTTCTCAATAACTTTTATTAAAATATAAATAACTGTTATAACTTTTCTCAAAATATTTGCTACGTTTTGAAAAACTAGTTTTGTCTGCCAAGAACTCGTATCCTTTCAAAACAATATACAAATTTTTCTAGTAAGATTGACTGAAGTTTCAAACTAATAAAGTAAGATTTGATGTGGCAGGAATTTTCTTGAACATTGGACATTTTCCATTGATCTGTGTCGTCTTTAAAAACTATTTCGAGAGAATGCTCTAGGGCATTTGGCCTTGCTTTGATATTTTTTAGCAACAGTTGATTTGGTTCAAGCCTTCTGTTTTATTTGAAACCTTCGGTGGTGCTTACCCCGATCGAACCCGAATCCGCTGGTGGATCCCGAGGCGGTGGTGTCGAGGGCCACGCGGCGGGGCGACACACTGGCCTCCCGCTGGCTACTGTGGTTGCTGCCCAGCATCGTGTGCCTGCCGGTGGTGCGCGGTGCCTGCTGGTGGTTCTGGTGGTGCAGTGGCCACTGGTTGTGGTGCTGGTGCTGGTACTGACTGTGCTGGTGCGGGGGTGCAGGTCGACCGTGCCGCGGAGGTGGCTGTTGCATGCTGGTGGCAGTCGCTTGCCACAGGCTGTCGGTGCGGTCCGATATCTTGGCGCTTTACGTTGGTGACGATTGAGGCGAGTTCTTTAGGCTCCTGCCACTTGCTAATTGCCACAAGTTGCATTCACAAACACACACAAAACTCCTGAACAACTTGGGGCCAACTTTTGGTTGAGTTGGCCAACGCTTTCGTTTATTTAATTTCCCCTTTAAGCAGCGCTCGACCAGAAACTCTGTTAAAAAGTTTTCGGGCACAAAGTTTTCAGTTTGGACTGCCTCTTTGCCAGGACTCTTTTTTGTTTTTTTTTTGCACAGTTTCCTCACTTAAATTAGGACAACCACAAAGGCAAAGGCCACAACATCAACAATGTGCGGTGCAGCGACGATTGTCAAGTGAGCCGTACGTAAGATGGCGTTCCTGCTGTTGAGACTCATCGTAGTCAGTAGTTCGTAGTCCGAAGACCGTAATCCGGAGTCCGGAGTCCTTAATCCGTAGTCTGCCAAGCGGAACACGAGCACGGAGCAAACACAAAACACCGTACACGGAAACACGGAAAACTAATTTAATAACAACACGCCTGGGGGCATGCAACGTGCTGGTTGTCCGCTCTGCGTTTCCACAAGTCCGTCGTAGTTTATAGACCAATGCGAACTGAACGATGGTTTAAAACTTATTTACGTATTTATCGGGTATATGTGCCCTTTTGTTTGCACTCAGCCAACAATCGGCGGGTCGGAGCGGAGGGTCAAGGAGCGGGCCACAATTTATGCTAATTGCCATTGACAGTGGACAAGTTAATAGCTGGCAAACTACGGTCCGCTTTCCGCCTACGTTTTCAGCTCAAGGATGCAGGATGTGGACTGCCGGATGCCATGCCAAATGTAACGGAGACCATTCTCCAGATGGCTTTGATGCAGCGCATCCTTTGTCGGTGACAACCTCGAACTAGTTTACTTCGAACCAGATGCAGCCCCGAAATATATATTACAATATAAACACTCGGAAAAAGTATGGTTCAATTGTTGAAATTCGGTTTTATAAAGATCGTTCTTTAGTGACAAAATTCGATTTTTTTCATAACTGAAATTTTTTTGTATACAAATACAAAAAAATTGGGGTAAGAATTTAACTCTTTGTGAGCCTTTAAAAGCATTTCAGCTCCTACATAAAATTATCAAATTTCTTTAAAAATGATTTAAGAGAAACATAAGTATGAGGATAAATTTTAATAATTGTCTCTATTATTGAAGACTTAAATACAATTTTAAATATAAGACATTTTTGAAGATCAGGATAATTTCAGCATTTATAAGATAGCTAAATGAATGGTGGATGCCTCTGTTGCCTTTCAGAAAGGAGGTAATATATTAAGAATTTATTTCCAAGTGCAGCTCGATCCCCCACAAAACCTCACCCATTGTTGAAGATAACCCGCGCAACCGCCTTCATTATGCCAGTGTTCATTTGGCTGCCGCTGATGCCTTTGCATCAGTCAAGTCAAGACGAGTCAAGTCGACTTGAGTCATCTCGACCGCGTTGTCAACTGTCCCATCTGTGTCCACCCCCTCCCTCCCTCCGTCCCTGTGTGTGCCCGCCCCTCCCCAATGCCACTTTTTGGGCCAGCAAGTAGGCCATTTTAGCATGTTCTAAGGCCCGTCCACAACTACTACAACTGCGACTCGAGTCTCGACTTTCAACCGGTTGCTCCCGTGGGCAGAAAAACCGGCGAAAGGCGAGCGAAAGTCACGCAAGGACTCGAGCCTCGGCCATATCCTCGCCGATTCTCGGCTGGCATTTACATGCTTGCATAAACCTGAATATTTAATGCTCCTGTTCCCAACAACTGTTGGCTCGTTATCTTTGTGTTTGTCAAATTGTAAATATTTGAGAGGCAGCCGTTTTCATTTGTACTGCTGAGCAGAAAACTAATGCAACCGATGAGTTCAAGGCAAAATTGTGTAAATAGTACAAAAATACGGGTATTGTTTGGTTAACAATTTAAATAAACTGTGTAAAGATACATTTATGAATAATTCATTTGTTTTATCAGTAAAAAGGATTGGAAATGGTGTCACTTGTGGTACTCAAATGGGTTTTAATTGAGACATGTTAATAAGAGAGATGAAAATTGTGTGATTGCTTAAGAGGAATATTTGTATTTAGTCAATATTTTTAATAGAGATGTTATAATTTCATATTGATATTACATATTTGCCCAGGAAAAGTTCAACTTGGTTAGGATTATGGAAGTATAAAATAACAATGACTTAAGTCCCTATCTTTTTCTATGGCACATTCATTTTATATGTAATTATAAGTTATTCTTCTTATGTCAAAATTATAAATACAAATTAAAGTCCAAGCTAATACTCAGAATACTTATAAATTAATTACATTGAAAACAGAACACCTCTAAACTCCATTTCTCTTTTAAGTGTATCCCAGATAACTGCCAATAAGCAGAATTTGTTGCTTTTTGTTTTCCTTTTACTACCTGAAGCACGTAATTGCATTTTCCATTTTAAGCTTGGCTAATGAGCAAAAACTGGTCCTTGAATTGATATAAATTACACTAATTGGTTGCTTGGCTGTTTGTTCTAGCTGGTTGCATCACACACATAGCAGTTGCCAGGCAATATATAAGCTACATATAAACTGAAATTAGGACCCCACTCCGGGCAACAAGTTGAGACTGGAAAGTCTCCAACCAAAGCTGCTGTCCTGTTGGTAATTATCGGAATACGTATACGTCCTGTTGCACCACGACATGGTCGTATCTCGTGCTAACGCCACTTGTGCCAGTTCCATCGCCATTCGCCTTTTGTGCGTCAAATTAACAACTTCCGCATGAGGCCACACAAGGCACTTGCACCCAAATGCGTCATTTTCTGGGCTGCGTTGCCTTTTGTCTGCCAAGCCGTATTGTCAGGGCTTTTGGCCCACTGCCAGAGTCTGGCTAAAAACTGACGAGACTGGAGCCGACAGGGCCTATTATTGTGCTTTAATGGCAGCTAAACTGGCGAGCCATTTGGCCAAGATGGGACACGCCTCCGATGACGCCCTAATTAATAGGATTCTTAAAGTTTCGTTTCCCCTTGCGGGTTAAGGGTTTTCCGCCCCCCCTCTTAGAACTTTTCCGTAAAAAGCATTTGGCAATTGTTTGCCAACTATTCAATACTCAATTTCCAGCATTTAAATGCCTTGTTTCCGCTTGGCTCAATGTCCTTAGGGAATCCGAGCCCGATCGATATGCAATATCCTTGCTCGACTCGGGAACTTGGCCAGAATGGCAAGCATCCGCCGTAAAAGTTGTGAAAAATCTGTGCACATCAAGTATGCTTCAAACGTATCATTTGAATCTGGCTGAAAGGGGAAAAATCCTCAGACATTTGTTTTATTATTTTTTCTTCTTGACTTTTTCGGGTGGGAAAACTCATAACCGAAACTAGTAAGGAAAAACTTTGGCCTTTTACACGAAGCAAATGAAAAGGCTTGTGCTTCAAACTAGAAGTTCGCAAGAAACTAGGCTAATAACCATAAAAAAACATATTTAAGTTAAGATGGTAAAAGCTTATTGAAATATGTTGAACTAGATTCGATTTAAAGATGCTTTTAAAGTTTTTTAAAATTTATTAGTTTTTGTGTAATGATAAGATAAAATAAGTTCAGTTTTTTAACACATTTCTGCAATTCATTATAAACTTAAAAAAGCCAACACTAAAATGGTTCAAAAAATGTATCAGCATTAAAGTCATTTCAAACATTTTACCGAAAATGGTTAAGAAACAAAATTCATTCGCAGACATTGTGAATTATTATTAAAAGATAAAATCGTTCCAGAGTTTGCTATTAAAATGACAAGGATCTAAACTTTTTAAGAACAATTTGATAAGATCTCCATAACTCACTCCGAGTTTATCCTTTTTTTCTGTGCATCAAAGTAAAAAAGCCTGCGCAAAGTTCCCCCATGAAAGACATGAAATATTTGCTCTATATGGTTTTTTTTTTACGTTTGTGTTCGCGTCTAAGACGATTTTCTTAACTTTTGCTGCAGCATTGGGAGCATTGAACTGAAAGCTCCATTTGTTGGCAGCCAATTCCTGGGGGTTTTGTCTAGCTGCCGGGCAATACGGAAAATGGGGTTAGACTGCGACCAGCCAAGCGTTTTTAATTTCTTTTATTCCGACCCGCTTTTGTCATTGGCCTGCAAATGATTTGTTTCTTACTTTTGTTTTCGTTGCCACGGATAAATGCCAAGTTTATGCTAAATTTGTGGGTCGAACATGGCAAAGGGGAAAATTAACTAATGATGAAAAATGCCGTCCCTTTTGTGGGTGCCTTTTGTGCTGCCCGGTAATTTACAGCGGAGGTCAGCATTATGGTTTATGAGCTTCTGAGTTGGCCCCAAATGAAGTTGTCGTTCGGACGGACTGGCAAGCCACAGAGCAAAAGGCCTGCAGGCATATAGCACAAACAGATATTAAGTATACGCCACCCGAGACCATTTCCTTTGGCTGGTATATGTAAATGTAAATGTAATGCTAATGCGTTTCACACACAAGCGCACACCAAAGACCCACACACAGAGATAGGATGCATTGCGCATACGGCCTGTTGAACACTGGAGAGCAATCAGACACTTGTAAATATTTCATTTATGCACTCGGAACTTAATTTCAGGCTAAACTATCTCAATTGTAAATGAAATCATACTTACCAGCACATAACTTATGCGCATATTTGCACACACAGTTTGGATATTTCTAGTATTTGTACAAACCGAAACCGTAACCGAAATCGAAAATATTGTTATTAAAATATTAATCATGTTGCACTCACCAAGTCTACGTACTACAGATGGAGAGATGTGAAAGAGAAGCGTTTTGGTTGGTTGATTTTTGGTTGGTTAGTTGGATTTTGATGAGGCATTTTCGTTAGTTTTCGTTATTTGATATTGGTAATGCAATTTTGTACAGATAGAGAGCGTTCCAAATTCGTCGAATTTGTTGGGCAAGCATCATGAAATGAGTTTACGTTTAATATATAATTTAAAGGAAAGAAACTGGTTAGTCGACGAATTTACAAATTGCACAATTCTGTGGGTGTATGTTAAATAAATATGTATATATATTATATATGCTATAGAGTGTGTCGAAATGACGATTGCATCTACGCTTGGCTTAAATCTAGGCTAAGAGTAAGGCGCTGCATGTGTGTGGGGCATGCAGCGAGACATGGGCGTGGCGGAGGGGGATGCAAAACGGTTAAGCGAAATGTGAAACGCTATTTATTTGCCCCTCCTTCTGTTGTATGGTTGGTGGGGGGGATGGGGGGTTTGTATGTGGGGATTAAACTAAGTATGTCAACTGCAAAGCCAGTAGGTCAGGGATAGTGGTCCTGCCAGTTTTGTTACTCTCGGTGTGATTGGATTGGTAGTTGGAGGGGGTATGGTAGGGGGTGGAGGGATTCTCTGTTTTCGGCAGCTGCCTGCCTGCCTGACACACTTACTTTTCATGATCCGATTCCTGTACTCATCGTCGCGCTGCATGGCCACACTGCCACCGCCGTTGGATACCATCGAGCTCACTTGTTCCATGGGCACAATATCCTGCAAAAAGGATACAGCAAACATGAATGCAAAACTCCCATCAATCATACGAGTATATACCGCCCGCCATATGTTTTGCCCTCTGCTTATCAGGAGCAGGAGTTATGGCCATGGAAAGCCAGAAAAATGTGTGGCAACCTAATTAAGGGAAGGCGAAAAATGGCATTTATTTCAGCTGGCCCTGCGGCCATATAAATTTCATAAATTTCCTTCACGTTTTTAATTGTGTGCAGCAGTGAGCGCTTGTACCGAAAAATGAACTAGATAAATTGTGGGTTTTTTTTTCATGCGCTTTTGTTGAAGTGCCAACAAAGGCTTTCTATTTTTTTTTGCCCCCACTTTGACTGGTTCCAGCTGCCTGGACAGGAAGAGTCGAGCGGAGCAGCTGCTCCTGCCCAGCCAGCCGTGATATATTCGCCCGGATATATGTATCTGTATCTGTATTGTGTGCACTCAGCGGACTGTGCTCCCAAAGGGATGAGGGGGAGGGGGTTTTCAGGGGAGATTGAGTAAAATGGATTATGCTCGGCTCGTTCGTCGACATTTATTAATGAATTTACAGGATTAGCGTGGTAATAAACGCATTTGATCCTCCGGTTAGCTGATGCTGCTGTTCGTTCGGATTAGCTGGTGAAATGTTTTGTGTGAGTGGTTCTCACTGCACTTAAACACAAGGCAATGAAAGGATGTATAATAACTATAATATTTCACCATGATTGGCCTGATTTTATGTGGGAAAAGAGAGAGAAAACAGAAAAAGTTTAACCAGTATTCATTTTTCTTTATCTGGTTGAACCGCAAACTTTGTTATTTTACTCTTTCCTGATTTCTTTCGAGTCAGAAAGATAGCTTTTAATTTATTTCTTAAAGTATCAGTGAATTAAATGCTTTTAAAAATAGCTGAAAATCGCTTAAAGCCAAACACTAATTGAAGACTATTTAATTTCGCACCCAATTATATAAATAAAGGCTGGAAGGCGATTGCATTTCAACCAATTTTAAATAATGAAGATGTAAAGCAAATATTAATTTTTAAAAAATTGTATTAATTTCAAATGTAATTAACGGGGGGAAAGAGGATAATAAAATTGAAGAGAAAATTTTGTAAAGCAATACAAAATTGCATTAATGAATATATATTAATTTCCGAGATAAAATGTTTAGTTTTCATTACAGGTATTAATAATGGCGTAACACAAAACCAATTAGGGCAAAACAATGTACAAACTATACAAAATTTCACTCAAATAAAACCTTTATTTAGATTTTATCTAAGGCAAGGAATAAAGCAATAAATACAGAATAATTCAAAATGCAAGCTGAATTTATATTAATTTTAATTTAAATTAATGGACTGCCATCTGTAGTTTGTCCTATAAACATTAAGCCAGTTGAGAAAGCTTTTAAATTCTAACATATTTTTTAATTTATGGTCTCGAATCAAATATTAATTTTCTTGCAAAATTTTCAGTCAAATGAAAAAATTCAGGACTAAATTCAAGCCGAATAAATATTAAATTTCATTTATCTCAATGAACTGCAATCTCTGTTGTTTTATGTTGGCTGTTGATTTGTGTGGTGCCCTGGTGCTGAAGTTTATAATTTATTTTAGCAAATAATAGTTTGATTGATGGCCTAAAGTGAAATCCAATAAAAGATTTAGAGCCAAAATCTCGGAAAACAAACAATTTCCCAGGGGGTCTTGGGCTAAAATCAGCTCAGTCACTCACACTTATTGGCAAACAAAAAAGCAAAGCCATTTGGACAATGCAGTGGAAATGTGAGCCCCTCGGCGGGTCAAAGGGCATGTGGTAATGCGGCTGAGCACGTCACGTATTCGACATGTAAAATGCGCAATTCAATTTTGATCTAAACACGCATTATGCAGCATATTACGCATACGCCCTGTGCCCATCCTCAGCCCATAAAACAGAAGCAATTTAAATGTATGGCTCCTATGCGGAGTTCCGCCTGTTCCCACCGACTTTTCCTACTTTTCCGACTGTCATATTAACGGCCTTTGCATATTGAAAATGTTTTTCCTGCAAAATGTGACAAACTTTCGACGATGTCGTTGTGAGTTTTCCTTTTCGGCGTTGTTTGCTCGCTGGCTGCCTGCCAGCAGATACATATCTGACAATGTGCGGATGTGGAGGACTATAACCAGGAGTGTATGTCCCCGGATAACGGACGGCATTTGAGCACTGAGCACTAAGCCACCTGAAACTGAAACAGGTGGGCAAATGGCAGGAAAAGTCGGAGCGACAGGTTTGGGCTTCAATTAAAATGATGCCGAAATTGCTTTTTGTTTTGCAAATAAACTAAACCTGAATAGAATATCAACGAAGATACCCATGAATACTGGAAAATGTGGTGTAAACAAAGCGCACAGTAATTTGAATGCTTATTGGCTGAAAAGCCAATCTGAATAAAATTATATTGTCACTTAAAAGCTGAGAAATTAACAATGCATTTGCAAATTGTGGGGCATAAAATTGTATTGCATAAATTGTTTACTGAAACCATATACAAAAAAATGTGAAATTATAAAATGAAAATGAAGGCGAGAAGCAAATATTGCTAGGTACGAAATAATAAATAAAAGTGAATACATAAAATGAAAAGCCAATTAAAATTAAAGTTAACCATTGGGTAGGTAAACATAAATAAAGATTAAAGTGATAGTAAAATATACACATTTTTTTCATTTGGATTGGAATACACCTTTATGAGTTTGAAAATACAGGAACATAGGAAATTAAAAGGCTATAAAATCAAAACTTTGCCTGCCTGTGTTTATTGCTAGTTGTATAAAAGTTGAACCTAAATAAACATATAAAATGAAAAACCCATTAAAGTTGTGGTATAAAACCAGACCAACTATAAAACAAATACCTCAGCTAAATACTGTCGAATTTTTGGCATGAATAGTTCTGCCAAATGAAGTTTTATTTCACCCCAAAGTTGCCGCAAAGACTTGTGTGCAATTTGCATAAATCTCGTGGTAAGTTCTGGCACCCAAATGAGCTTTCAAACTTTCGATAAGACGCCGTAAGCACATTTCACCTTCGTCACCTTTACCAATTTCCCCTGCTCATGTGTTGACAGAACTTTGCCATTTTGCCATGACTGTGTCGCATCGATTTCAATTTGGCAAATTGTCGGTTTCGCTGCTCGGATTTAATTAAATGCAATTGCCCCGCCGAGGACACAGCGGATGAAATTCGATGTCCAGCTTGAATTGAATTTTTTATTCGCATCTGCCCTCTCCCCGCCGCGGTTTTCTCGTTTTTGTTTGAATTGCCGGAGCAAATTTAAACATTTTCATTTACTTTTCTGTCGGTGGCCTGTTCGCCACCATCCTTTTTCCACGCCGCTTTTCCAACAGCGACCTGCTACTTTGTCATGCAAATTAACGGGTATATTGTGGCGACATCGCAACCAAAACCCCCAGCTGTAAGTCACACAAAGAAGGGTCCTCGCAGGATCCCAACACGCATATGAGTACACTCAGACAACCACTATAAGGCAGGAAAAAGCATTATTTTAGAATTTATTTTGAATAAAAATTAAAAGAAAATTCTTCCTATTTTTCATCTAGAGATTCTTATAATTCCTTTTTAATTAAATGCAAATATTAGTATCTTTTTTTTAAGTTATAATCATTAATTTTATAACATTTAAAAGTAAAGACCTCCTGGAATTTCTTTCTCTGTTTATCTGTATTTGGAGGAGGTACTATATGCGTTGGTCATAAATAAGCCATTGGCGGGATTAGTGCGAGCGAAAGTTGATGGGCTGTACTTTACCGCATATGCATGTATGCTGAATAATTAATTTTTATTGATCGCGATTGCGAGTACTGACACCCGAGCCGCGTCTGCTGTTGTTTATTAGTTTTCTGGGGGCTTTGTCTGGGCCTCCTTTTTGTGGGGCATAAAGGGCTTACGAGGGTCGGGCGCCATTGTTCCCAATGTGCCGCATAATTATCAGCACACACTGTTGATACACTGGGCCTGCCAGGATGTTGGGATGGTGGGTGTGCTGTTTACCCAATTGTATCGCGCTAATAAAGTTAATGTGCTCGCTAAACTGTTGGCCATGACTCGCATTTGGCCCGGATGACCCTAAGCCAAGCCACCCGAAGCCAACCCATTTCAGGCCGTGCGAGAAGTGCGCTAATTGCCTTTCAAGTTGTTGACTGAACCATCCCATTGGCTTTCCCATTGGCTTTCCCTTTGCGTGCTCGGCTCTTGGCCTGGCCGGAACAACTAAGTAGTGCAATGGCCAACTTTCAAGTGGTGGTGAAAAATATCGGAGAACGAAAGTTTGGGGGATGCCAGCTGAAGACTTAATCGATGTGGCTACCAAAGTTATTTAAAGACGTCTCGGTTCCTAGGAATTTAATTAAATGGCTTTTTAGAATTAATCAATTAAATCTTCGGGTACTTATAAACTCAACCGATCCTCTTTTATTCTTCACTCTAAAATATTTAAGCGAGATAATTCTTACGAAATTTGTAGGTACCTAAAATAAGTTCTAAAATCTCTATTGAATAAATCCACAGAAAAAATCGAAACCTCAATAACCACCATAAAATTGCCAACATACGTAATTAAGGTAAATTAATTTTAAAATGTTTATTTTGCTTGCTTTTATTCAAAATCAAACTTAATGTTCAATTCCCAAACAAATATTAAGTTTCGTGATATTTAATTTCAATACAAATATTTACTTTTGTGTACATAAAACTATTTTTAATATTGTTTAAGTAACAATGCCTGATATTTAACTAACGTATTTGAACTGGTTGACCTTAACAACGTGCCATGTATTTGATTATACTTGTTTGCCTTTGGCGATTATCCTCTTCTGTTTGCGTTACAGCCATTGTGCATATTTAACTTTCACTAAAAAAGTATGTAGAGTATGCAATCAACCTCTGCACTCACATCAGTTTGAAATCCCCATATGGGCTTTTGAAACGCCTTTGACTTCCTCTACTGATCTGGTTTTTGACCCCGAACCACACTTAAGCCAAAGCCAAAGCCAAAGCTGACGGCAAGTCGATGACAAAGCAAATATTTGGAGGAAGCCCAGGGCAACGGAGACAAAGGATCTGGATCTGGGCTAATGCCTGGCTGAGGGTCCTCAGGTGGTGGTGCCTCATCCTCATCCACATTCTCCTCCTGGGATAACTTAAGCCAAATATTCGCCGTAAAATAAATGCGAATTGCGACAGAGCTTCGGCTAAGTGCAGTGTGTAACTGCAGCACTCAACAGACAGCAGCGAACTGATTAAATATCCGGGCCGCAGTTGGCGGAATCCGGAATACGGAATACAGAATCCCTGGCTCAGTTGTACTTGTACACTCAGCATAATGCGAGTCCATGTAGGGAAATGTAATTTGAACGCCAAAACAAACAGCGGGCTGGGGAACCGTTTGAATGGCGGCCAGGAAGGCTGCCAGGAAGTTGGGCAGGTGCTCGGGCTAAAAAACAAAGGCCGCCGCTGGATATTTACCCAGTGCCAGTGCAGCAAAAACGGCACAACCAGATGAAACAGCAGGAGAGGTATATAGCTGGAGCAGCAGCAGCAGCAGCAGCTGTGGGAGCTCAAAACAAAGCCTTGGTAAACAGCCGAGCAATGTGATTAAAAAATAAAGGAACACAGCACAACAATGGCAAACGGAGAACAGAGCCAAGACGTACACGGCGGGAAAAACTTAAAACTACATTTTCAGTAAGTGTCAGGCTCACAAAAGTTTTTTAAATAAATAAAAAATATATGTAAGTTTAAAGAAGTTAAGGTTTTTGTATAGTTTCCCACCTTTATTCAAATGCCCAATTTATGATTTAATTTATGATTATATTGTTAATTGAAATTCCTACAGATTATTAAACATTCTTTCTACAATGACAGAATGCTTGTCAAACTTGAATAATCTTTATTAATTGGGAAAGATACATAAACAAGTTCCTGTAAACCTTAAAAAATCAACATAACCTTTTAAACGTTTAAAATTATTTTTAATTCAATTAATTAGATGCACTGAACTTATTTCTTAACTTTTCAAAAATGTACTAATACTTTTAGTCTCAAATGATAGGGCAATCAATGCTTTTTTGAGTAAGGTCAGGTACTTTGAACTCTCCTTACTTCCTATTTTTTGGTATACTTAAAAATACCCAAGGTATTGCATATATTTCTTCAAAGCTATTACTTAAAATAATAAACAAATTTTTAGATAAGTTTTGAAACTTTAGTATTACCTTTTCTTTTAGGTTTTAGTTGATAAAAAAAAATTTTTAATCACACTATATTAAGAGACTTAAAGTATATTTCTTCTTAAATCGATATGGTAGTTTTGAAGTATTATTTTTATGTTTTTTTTTGTCTGCAATTGACGTTTGAGTAGTAAGGTAGGTGGTTTTACAAGTGGGACTCACCTCGTAGCGTGTGTCGATTTCTGGCAACTTCTGCAGGAACTCCTCGACCATCTTTCGTTGCACGTGCGCCTAGCACAGCAATCACACACATACACACACCCCTACGCACTCACACACACACACACGCACACTCGTACACGCAAAACACAGATACAAATAATATTCAAATTGACACGCACTAAATGAAAGTTTCTGCTTATCAATTATGGACAACTACTAATTACTGCTGCTAGGCTTAATTATTTAGGGGTTCTTTGGCATTGACAATTGTTAAAGCTGAAACACCTGTTGTTGTTTTTATTTATTTCTTTTTATAATACTTGTATGTCACACACGGGGAAATTCGTAAGTTGCTGTCCTTTTTTTTGTAACTGATCTATGACTAATCTAAGTTTTTTGCACTTTCCGTTGTTGACTTTTGTGATTGTCCTGTCCCCCGGATGATAAATTTTTGGGGGTGTGCTGTATAAATTTCTGGTCACTTGGCACTAAAATTGGGCGGTAGTTTTTTGGCCCACACACACTGGCCCGAACAAACGGAGATACAAAGATACAATTCTGATGGAAGCGGAGTGAAAAAGAAGCTGAAGCTGCAGCGGAACCAAAACATGTGCCAAACTCCCTCGGAAAAGCCAAACTCCTTTGGGCCTACTCTGTGTGTGCGAGAGACCAACAACCAACAAGCGCTGTCCGTTCACTGTCGTTCAGCACTAACAACAAACTGCAGAAAAACAAAACATTTATAGCCAGGACACACACGAGGCCCAAGGAGCCCCGAGTCGTATCGACACGGCCCGAGCAGAGATGATGTTCTAAAAACAGCCTAGCCATCTCGCATCGCCGAAAATTGACGGCAGCCGATGCTGGCCGATAAAAAAAAAACAGAAAAGTGTGGCGCGCTTTTGGGCGCCGGCGCGAGGCAGCTGAAAGGGGCAGCAAAAAGGACGACTCCTCCGCTCCTGCGACTCTCCCAGTATGTATAAGGGATTCTGGGGATTCCCCTCTCAGACTCTCGACTTGACACACATCGAAGTGCGGAGCTTGCGGTCCAAACAAAAACAGCATCCAGCGGAGCCGTGTGGATCGCTTTTCGAGTGTCGAATGCGGAGTTGCATGTTGCATGTTGCTGCTGCCGCTGCTGCTTCTGCTGCTGCTGTCCCTTTGTTTTGCCAGCACTTGTAAATAATTTGCAGCTAACGAAGGCGGCGCCACTCAAAGAAGTCTCGCTGGAGGACCCTCCTTCCACTCTATCTGTCCTGCTATCTGCCGCTGCTCCTGCCACCGCTTTTTTCCTTCGTCCTGCCTGCTTGTATTTCTAAGTCGAGCAGTTATCATTAATCTCGAGCACTGCACACATGCTCTTAATCGATTGCTGTCAGCGGGTCGTGTTTGTCTAGCAATTACCACCGGAGCAACAACAATTGAGCCCAGGGGAGAGGCACTATAACGACGCATAAGACTGCCCCCAACGCTATTGAAATCGGGAACTGGCTCAGGTAAATCAAGTAGCTCGTTAAAAAACTACAACTGATCTAGATCTGGTAAGAAAGACTGGGTTTTACTTTTGACAAAACAATTTTTAAAAGATTTCTTTAAAGAAATATTTTATTCATTTTTAAAGGTAGTTGAATTATAGTATATTTAAAATATTTTAAATTTAAAAATGGCTATCGTGTTTAAAAATTGGTAAGATTCTTTAAAGATAAGTATTTATAATAATTTATAATAAAATGATTACTATTACAGCTTTAATACTTTTTAAATCAGTAAAAGTCTTAATTTAATTTTTTTTTATTCAGTATAAGTCAATGAAAATGTTTTGACAAAAGGAAAGTTTAAGTACAGTTCAATTCAAATCCATTTTAAATATATTTCGAAATTTCTATAATTCGCTTTCTAGTAAAGCTGATCATGGAAAAAAATTCAATTAATATTCAGTTAATTCAGATGGTACCTCAGCACTTATGAAGTGAAGGAGTGCACTTCCTGTGACATTATAAAGCAATCAGCGATAAGTAAGAAAACCCTTCGGTAGTTCGTTTATTGACTTGATTGCCACGTATTGAGTACTTACCGAACCCATAGCTGCCATGTCCTGTCCGTTCGAAAGTAAATATTTAATCCCTAAGTTGAACTATGTCCGTACTCGCTGGCCAGTCGAGAACCACTGAATGGAGCTCGGCTAATCAGCAGCGAAATGGTCGCTATAATGCAACAATTGGCTTCCCGCACACACGTCATCGAGGGTCCTTTTTTTTTGCTACCCCCCTTTTTCCTTTCACCTCCGAATGTCAATGTCAACAACACACCGTGGGAATAAAAACAATTACTTGTCATCAGGTGCACAAATACCTGCACACCCTTCCCTATACCTTTGATCCAAAAATAAGTGCCACTCGAAAATTAATTCTCCGCATTTCGATTCTCTGGTTCAACGTGGCGATTTTAAAGTCCTTGAACGCAGCTGCTTAAATGGGTCTTTGGTTTCCAGGCTCGCAATGAATTATTTACACGGCAAACAGGTGAATTAGCAGAAGTGCGGGCGTGTCCTGGCCAAGTGCAAATATGACAGAGGCACGTACGTATTGAAGAGCTTTAAATTATTCAGAAAAGGTCGTTTGACTGAATATTTTCAAATTACCCGCCAAAAATTTCCAATTTAAAGTAAACAAAGTTGCTTGCTGTGAAACTCTCTTTGATATTGAATTTCCATATAAATTCGGTAGGAAGGTATTTCTTTAGATCCCCGGATTGTATCGGCTTAGCATTCTCTCTTTTCTAAAAATGATGTTTTTGAATTTCGCGGCAAAATTTCATATTGAATAAAGCAGCCCGCTACAAAAGTCACTTTGCTTATATATTGTCTCTGCACTCTTTGCTTTTGTGGACTGCTTGCTTTAAGACTGAAATAAAGATTATTGCTATGAAACTATAGTTGACACTATAGTTGTCTCTTTCTCTTCAAACTGCTTGCACAACTGTGAAGCAGTAAATTCAAATCTAATTTTAAAACTTACAAAATTAAAATGCACTTTTTTCGTTTGAGATTTGTATTTTGAAATGATTTTCATATAATTTCTGACAAACTTGAACATTTAATTAATTTTATTACACATTATAAATTTCATTTGTTACAATTTTCGTTCGTTCATCGTTTTTAGCGTTTTCGGACCGTTCAATTTGCTAATTTTGTTTTTGATATTTCATGTTAACGTTCCTGGCATTTCTGTTCCCACTTAAGTTATTTAAATTTCATTAAGAATATCCGCATAAATGTGTACGCCTACGCAGACTCAGAATCTCCATCCATTGGCATTACTGGAATACTAGGATCGAAACGATATAGAGAGATGGACAGCTACAAAATACATACATTTACAAAAAATAGTTAAATATTATGTAAGCACGGCTCGCTCCGCAATTCTTTCGTCCCTACGTATATATATATAATTTAATCATGCTGCCCATATCGAATTCAATATTTGGTTTGGTTACTCACTGATTTCACTAAACTCTTGAATCCTCAGTTTGTCTGCTTTGTTTATAGCTTTCTCCTTTCATTTTATTTGTTTAGTTTATTAAGTACTATTGTAGTTTTCTTAAGAGCTAAGAGTTGTGCCTAATGTATTGCGCTCATTTTATCGTTGCTGCTGGTTTGGAGATTGGTGTTCATGGTTAATGTTTCTGTTGGTGAGCGACTCGCATTGGATGTACATGACTATCAGTATAATCCTTAGAATAGTTACGGTTCATATGATACGAATGATTGTAGGCAGGTGGTTGGTGGTTCACTTGACTTGCAATGTTCCGTTGTGTTCGTCCCGACAAAAAATGCTACCTATCATTAATCAGTTAACATTAGGGATAACTACGAACTTAAAACTTAAGCTTAACGAAACCCTAAAACTGAACAGCCAAAGAAACTAAACGTAATCCATCGAGTGTGTTTGCCAGTCAAACTAGCTGAGGCCGGTGCTCGTCTGCGCCTCGGAAATGTTCGCACTTGGCACTTCTGGTGCTGACTTGGAAGCGGAGGTTGCAGAGGATGCGGATGCGGATGAGGAGGCGGGATGGGTGAGTAGTGGCCTCTGGATCCTGTCCAGCGCCATCTGCCAAATGGCCATGCTTTCGTCCGGCAGAATGGCGTGATTGGTGAAGAGGAACGGGGGCTCTTCAAGATCGGCCCCACCGCCGAGCAACTTGCGGACGTCCTTCTGTTCGAGGTAGTACTTCAGCTTGGTGATCTTGGTGCCCGTCTCCTCGGCCAGGATGCCCGTGATGAGGACGTCGTCTACCCAGAAGTATTTCGCCTTTTGCGCCGCCTCGAACAGCCGACGCACTACGTCTGGTGCATAGACGATGGCCATTCCGGGACAGTACTCCGGGTAGAAGCGGTTCGGGTACTCCTTGTAGGTCACCCGCCACTTGGACTGCAATAAAAAGAGATTTTGGTTAGTAGGTTGTCACTTGAAAAGGGATTTCATGGTATTAATATTATCTTCCTTTCACTGGATAATATTCACAGAGTAATATTATTACATTTATATTCGGGGTGTCAAAGAAATCTCTTCAAAAAAATTGGCTTGGAGTTTGTATAGATGGACATACAAACAAATTTTGGTTTTATCTTGTATTGATATATGTACATTCAATTTTCAACCGAATTGGGTTCGGTCTGATTTTTGTGACAACTCCCTTGGTAATTCTTATCTCACTAATAACTCAGTTTGCGTTAATGCTAATTGATTTTTAATCAAAAAACAGAAATTCTTCAAGGGTAGCATTATGACAATAAATCACGTTTTCTCTCAGATTTTAAATTTAAAAGGTTAGTTCCTCGGAGAAAATTAAGATTTTTTTGAATTTAATGAACATTTAAGATGTTAACCTTAAAAGAAAAAAACCGAAAAATTCAACACTTAGATTACTACAAATTGCATTGCAAAACAAACAAAAACCTGGCCATAAAATTTTCGCTGATAAGAACTAGTAAAGCGAAAAATCAGTGAAAGTGTAATCCAGTTTTGCAAATCACTGAGAAGCACATACCCGAAATGTCCGCTTGACCCTCGACCGATTCACAGACCGGCAGAGGAGAAGATCCGGATCGAGGAGCATCGAGTGCTCCGGCAACGAAGGAGTGGCCAAGTACTTGACCAGCTGGGGCGTGTTCATGAAGACATCGTCGTCCACTTTGACCAGCAGCTGGGCATGCGCACACTTCTCGTTGAACCACTTGAGGGCCATCACATGCTTGTAGGTCATGTTGCGATAGGCATCGTCGAAGTTCCCCTGGATGAGATCGCCGTGCAGGTGGTTCTCGCGTCCCAGAAACTGCTGCCATTTCTCGGCGTTCTCGCCCACTCCGCCCACCAGGAAGATGACTCTGAGGGGGGTGTGGTCGATGTAGCTGCGATCCGCCCACGTTTGCCGGATGATCCGCCGCTTGTCAATGTTCCTCACTGCCGAGTGGACCAATACCAGCACCTGAACATCCTTATCACAGGCGGGCTGGTCCATCAGATAGACGAAATTGGGCAGATCCATCAGGTGCATACTGCTGCCAGGGGGGGCGGGTGTTTGGGAGGCCGACGGCGGCGGGGGCGTGGCCAGGTGGTGATTGCTAACTAGGCTACTATCGTTATTACTAGGTGAGCGACTAGGCTGGTGTGTTATTTGGTTTGGTTTGCTCCTGCTACCCCTGCCACCCCGGCTCCCCCTCGTCGGCGGCTGTGAGGTGCTGCTGCTGCTGCTGCCGCTGCTACTCCCGCTGAAGTCGGCCATGATCTCCGCCTCCAGCATCGGCGACTGCTGCACACTGACCAGCCAGATGACCAGGCACACATTGATGCAGATGAGCAGCAGGCACAACGATCGCTTGTCCATCCTAGCGGCTTCTAATTGTATCTAACTCTATTTCCGGACACCTCAGACGGAAGCGTTTTCTGCGTGCTTTGGCCATTTAACTCCGGATCCAAGTGGCTGTAACGGCAAAAAGGTAAAAGGAAACGGTTAGTAAGAACCACTTAAGACCCATTTCCCACTGGCCTATCGCCAAAGCGATAATCACCTGGAGCATTAGGGCAATTGGCTGGCATGACATGTTGTTAATTTACTAAATGGCCAGCAGCAGGTGTCAACAGGTCTCACATGAATTAAGCGAGGAGCACACTATCTTTTCAGACAAGTTCACTGAACTGACGTCATGCAATCGATGCCAATGAAACGCACCTGCCATAATTTATTCAAAGCGGCAGCGTGACACCTGATGGATTCCGGGGGACATCCGAAACTATACTGAAAGTGCTCCCAGGCAGTTTCCACGCGCTCGCACTAATCGACAGTGAAAAACGCTTAAAGATAAGTTCAAATTATTGATTTATTTGCCGCAATTGCGATTGCTTTTTCAATATCGATAAAGGAATTCCTAGGAATCAGTCACAACTTTTGCTGAATTATTCTACTGACAACAGAATCGATGACGTCCCATGACTAAAACCTTATCGGAAATCGAGTAGTTAATCGTTATGGAAGTGCAAACATATTAATTGGCTGTACTATAAACCGCGGTGGCTACTCGGACTCAATTTGATTCACACACTTAAAATGTTCAGCTATCGGAAATGGGTGTTACGTACATATCTACAAAGTGGCGGAATGTTTTTGAATACATTAATTTCGCTTATCAAACAAGGCAAACAAACGTAATTACCTAATTAGGTGAACCTTAGAATAAAAAAAAAGTACTCAATTATTCTTAAAAAAAAAGTCAACGGAATTTTTTGGCAAATAAACAAAGAAATCAGTAACTTGGTTTAGATGGTATCACAGTTCTTATATTTCAAAATTGAAAACGAAAAGCATTACCTACTAAACATTTTTTCAAACGGTAGCATTTGATAACTTCTTTCTCAATAAATAAATCTTGAACAAAAAAATCATTATCAATATTAATTGACAATGTGTTGCAGTTCGGTAGTTGGCAATTTTGATAAGATTTCAAAATAAAGAACTTAAGTTTATCTAATCGGGTTTTAAGTAAGCGATAAATTAGACATTTATTTTAAGACTTTGATAGCTTCTTTCAGACAAAATGGCTTCCGAAGTACTTGAGATAGATTTCCACCACTTAAAACTCATAAGCCTACAATAAAGAAGATAATTATTCTGGTGAATTGGGGGTTCAGTAGAATAAGGCTCCCGACCCGTGCCTTATTCTACTGTTCATAATTTTACTTTTGACTTTAGCTTCTCCTTATCCACATTGTGTTTTCTCTTGTCTGTTTATATATATTTTTGATATTTTTGAAGGCAACCGGAAGACGCACTCATGCACATGTCCGTAGATAGTGTGCCAGAATAAAAAAGGAACTCTTCAGACTCGAACGAGAAACCCAGTCCGAGGTGTTCTCCAGTCACGTAGTTGTGTCGAATGTGCACATGAGCTGCAGTATAATTGAAATACATTGTACCGATGGCTCCGTGGAATATTGAAATAGTCTTGAGTTGCACTCATCTGATTATCCGTTTGTGAAACGCTCCTTTGGGAGGTTATTAAACAACATCTGCGATAGCTCTTTCTTGATTAGATAGCCTGTGAGCTCCCGATAAGATTACTCCCCTAATTCCAGACGAGTTGTGCCCCTATTCCGCCCTATATTTCAGCTATTTAATATTTCATTGTTGCCATCGAAAGCGTCACAACTTTGAGGCCGGAACAACACGAAACGTTATAAAATTGTTATACTCATGTAAATTCGCCGCCAGAGTCAATAGTTCTCTATAGACATGATGGTTAATGTAAAAAGGTTGCACTAGCTTGTTGTTAATGGTTCATGGTAGCACGCAACTGTTTCCAAGGGACGACTGTGTCCTTTTGGCCACGGCACCGAGATCTAGGGAAAATAAAATTGGAGTTTGGGGTTAACTGCCGGATGCGCCTGCCTCAAGATATGCAAAAACTAATTACAACTGAGCCTTTGACCTTTGCCAGCTGTTCGGTAACAGCAAAACTGGCCAAAAACAACCAAGGCCGGAATGCAATGCAAAATGAAGTTTCGCTGCAGCTCTGACTTCGAGGGTAGTTCTATCAGAAATTTACTGCCAGCAGTCACGATATTGTGCTTGTTAAGGATATTAGAAATAATTGTATGTCCACTTTTATTACTTTTTTAAAAATCAAAGTGAGTTGACATTTTATGTTACATGATTAATTTCACTGAAACTTTTAAGTTTTTAAAGCTTTTTGAACAATGTAAATATTACAACGAATTGTAACCTAACGGAAAATCAATTTAACAGATTTAATAATACTTTAATATCAAGTTTTTCAATTACGTTTAGCAAGCAATCGATTTTTGTATGTAACCCACTGTGACCTTAACTTTGTAATTAATTATAGCGACAATTATCTGACGGTCCCCCGGGAAAACCCTGAGAAATCTTCATAAATTATCTGGATGACCGGCATGATATGAATTCAATTAAGAAATTACTTTATTGGACCTTGAACTAAACGAAGTTACTACAACGTTGATTATGTCCACATAAAAAAGAAGATATAGGGGTCTTGTTATTATTTGTAATAAGAAAATGTTTATATTTTGATCTTTTGGCAAATGTTTGAGTACGATTTCAAAAGCTAAGAAATAAACTCCCTGAACCAACCTATTTTTCCCGCCTCTTTGTGCAAACATTGCGCACAAACCTCACCTTTGTTTCCATTAAAGTACTCACACCTCTCGTAAACTTTACACAAATAAGCCTAGACTCCGAGAAGCTATATCACGGGGGCAAAGGGAGGTTTTATATGGGGTGTGGGGCTGGGAAGTTTGCCAAAGGCTGGCATTTTGCAGTCGATAAAATGCCAGCAGCAACGCCAAATAACTTTTTCAAGTCGAAGGTTAAATTTTATCGTGGTCTGAATGGGCAACAAAAACATCAGCAGCGACAATAGATTCGCCTGCAGTTCGGGGCCGGGCGTCTTCTTTTGTTTATCTGGTATCGTATCGTATTGGGCTTTTGATTAGTTACCGACCGGCACTTTTCCCTCGGAGGAATTGTATTCATTGAATGGCAGCAGGTTGGCACTGCGAAAACTTGGCTGCTGCCCAAAAACACTTTGAATGCCTGTCAGGTTGTCCCTCACTTGTGTTCAATGCAACATTCACGTGCAGCAGTGTTGCTTTGTGGCAATAGCGATCAATCGGGAGTATAATATTTATATATACCAAACAAATAAATACAATATGAGAGCCTTCACAGCAATAATTTGTATTATTCCGACTTATTACATATCAAGCACTTAGTTGCAACGGGTAATTAGCAACTAAACTACTTTAAAGTATAGAAAAACAAACAACAAGCTTTTACCATAAGTGCAGAAAATTGCAGTTGTATTTGCTAGTTGAAGTTAACTTGAATGCGAAGTTACGTTATCCAATTGTTATTCAATTGAAAGTGTGGAAAGTGTTCGGGGTTTTTTTTTGTAAGCCGGGTTCTGCCAATCAGCTTAAGATTACTTTTTAAGCGGAAAAAACAGCTTTAAGTGTGGATAACTTTTAAACCGGTTTTTGGCGAGGCGATGGTAATGCAAGTCACGTACGTAACTTTTGTTTGTTTAAAAAAAACGCAATACAAAACAAAATCGAAAAAAAATACTTATTCCTGAGCCTTCTTTAAAGAATAAATAGGTGGTTATCTGCATTTTATAATTAGACGCCCCTAAATGCATATTTCTAAACTATCATAGCATTTAGTTTAGAAATTTGCATTTAGGGGCGTCAGTTAAATAGTGCACAGTTATCGCACAACTTAAATTGTAGTGTTAGCAAACTATAAAAATTCATTTGATGACTAATATCCACTATAAAAAGCATTTGAATATGATAACATGTATTTAATTGCCTGGAATTTTCTTCAATTGATGCGGGGCTATTGTTAACGCGTCAGAGTGAGGCAAATTCTGGGAACCTGAAGCATGGAAATGCGCACAGCTGGAGATCGTATATATGTCAGAGTAATCTGAAGACATCTCGAGAGCCCGGAGAGCGTTGCATTCACCACTTGGCATCCTGTCGCCGTTGTCAAATGGGAGTCAAGAGCTCAAGCATTAAACTTTAAGTCCCCGCCGCCGGCTAGACAAATGTCCCTCACATGTTGATGGCTCACAAATGCAGCCATCCATGTGTGCCTACAAACATTCAGATTGTATACACATGCCATATGCAGACACACTAAGAAAAACTCAATGGAACCCAATCAATTATAGTCTGGAGGAATTAAAATTGAAAAAAACTTCTTGTCTCCAAGGTCTAGTAAGTTAAATATCAATTTAAATGTAAATTGGGCAAATCAACGGTGGTATTGATATAGTTTATATTATATTATTTCTTGGGTTCACACCATGTTTTTGACTCTTTGTCGGTTTAAACCGATTTTTTGAGTGCATGCATCATGCTGAGGACCACGGAAAACTCTCCCTGCCCCAGATGTCGAAAAATGTGAGTCAGCGGCTTGAAGGAGTTTCGCCGACTGGCAGAAAAATATAAAAGTAGGGGGAGGTTTAGGAAAACCCAGTCGAGTTTGCTGCTGCTAACATGCCGCAATTACAACATGCTGAGGGAGTTTTTTCTCTGCCGACAACATTTTGCGGTTTGTGGGTGAAACTGCATAGGCAACAAACTTTTCCCATTTTCATTTCCATTTCCATTCCGACAGCCGCACGCACACTCACGTCGGCAAACAAATTGCGGGGCAATGCTAAGTAACGATGCCAGACAGATATTTAGGCGAATGCAACTGGCAACTGTGCGGGGGCGTTTGTTAATGTGCTTGCAATCGCAATCGCAGTGTTAGACATCACTGGCAACGGATGCGGATGCAATCTGCCCGAGACTCCGACGGTTTATCCGCCTCCTTCTCGGGATTTACGAGCCTCTATCTTGCGACACGTCTTGCCCAATTCCTGTGGCATGGCTTGGGCGTTGGCCTGCACTCACAGAAACGAATCCAAGCCATGTGTTGAAGGAGAGATAACATAATAACATCGAGCATTAACAATCAAGAATTTTTGAGAAATATTAAATATTAAAACATAGTTCATAAATATAATCTACCGTGTTAGTAAAATGAAGCCATGACATTCAAATGACATACTGCTGGTACAATAACATCGGGCATTAACAATCAAGAAAGTCTAGAATCGTAAAACATACAATACTTAATTTTAGAAAATTAAAATGTATTATTAAATAAATACATTTTTATTTTGTTCAAGAATAAATGAAATAAACGCATCTTTTTTTAACGAGTATGTTTCAGCATATTTTGCTTTAATGACTTATTTGTTATTACTATGAAATTCTTATCTCATCATTAAGGAATTATTTAATACTAGGGAAATTTCTCGCAGTACAAAGCCACAAAGCCATAATTAACTCATCCACTGCAGCCTGCGGCCGTCTAAAATACATAGTTGCCTGTGTGCCTTCGTCAGGACATGGATGGCGGAGTTTCCTGTTGCCACATAAAGTGCAGAGCATTACTCATAACCCCAAAAGAGGGATCAGAAGAAGTGGAAAGGGGAGTTCGGGTGGAAGCACGACATGGCGACGACAAATGCATTCGGCTTGATTGAAGGACACAGCAGACTGAGTGACAAACCGGCGAACCCCGCAAATTGGCAATTAAAAAGCCAAAGGGGAGAGGTAGTAAGTAGAAAGCCCGTGAAAGAGAGAAATTAAAATGCAAAATAGAGGAACCGGGACACGCCCAAGCGAAGAGGAATGGAAGGGTCCTGCCTATTTTATAGCCTTCCTGCAGGGTTGGTCTCTCGCACGCTAAATAATTTATGAATACATATACCTTAGCTGCGTATGAAAATTTAATTACGCGCCTTTTGTTTACATTTTCACAGGCCAGCAAGCCAAAGTCCAGTTTCTGAACCCTGGGCAAAACGAGTTTTGTGCACGCATTCTCAGAATTTCTTTGGGCTAATGGACTCAATCAAAAAATACAATATGTTTGTGTTTAAATTGGTTAAGAAGGAAAATATAAGAAAACAAAAGAACCTGGGCGTCGCCACGCTGAGCTTGCCGAAAACCACAATACAAATTCTTGGGCGATGACTCACTTTTCTTGGTGATTGGAAGATCACCTTTCCGACCATTTTCTTGTTTCACATTTTAGTATAAACTTTTTATTTGCATATCTGCATTTTATTTTCCTGGCCTCACATTACGAAGAATTTCGCGATTTTGAAAAGCGCAATTCTTTGTTACTCTTGCAATGTTGCTGATAAAATCGCACTCACAGCCGATTATAAGTAAACATAATTATTTTCCAGAACCAGGGGGCATTGTAAAAATGTACGTCTTAATAAAATAGAACTAAAGTTCGCTTCTGTGTTATATTTTTCGACACGTTTCTGGTTTTTATCTATTTACACGAGCAATAAATAAATTCTAAATACTCGCAATATCCAGGGAACATTTTCCACATGTGCAAATATTATGTGAGGGAGGTTGCACCTCTTTATCTTTGAATTTGGAATACCATTTTAGCTTGTGAAAAAACATACGTGTACATACTTATACATGTAAGGTAAAATGAGATAGTCTACATTTCACCGTCTGTAATAACAATAAATTTATTTCATACTTTGTTCAAACAAAATATATTTTTAAGAAATGGGTCAACACTTTTAAAACACTTTTGTGAAAGAAAAAACGTTCTTAATAAAACGCAGAGAACAAATAAAGATTTTCGAAATCATAATTTAATGAGAAACTGTTGTCATTGTCTCACAACAATGGCAAATTAGATATTTAACAACTTATTTTTTTGAAAAAGGAATTCGTTTTATATTGCTTATTGAGATTTAAAAATTGTTACAACAAAAATCAGTTGAACCCAGTGATTAGTAATGAATCTCAGATCGTACGTATTCAATATCGGGGAGCAGCGAGCGGGAGTAAAAGAGAAAGCAAAAAGCTCAAACCGCTGACGTTGACGTGACGTTGGCGGCGAATCTTGGGGTCACTGTACGGGCCAATAAATGTAACACCGCTAACCGTCTAACGCTTCGCACCACCACTTATCAGTGGGCCAGAAGCACAAGTGGGCGAAAAGTAGCAACAACAGCGGATACGCAAACAAATAAAGCGAAGACAATGTTCTGAAAGGCCACCTAAAAAAAATTTTAAAATTCATATGAGAGAGAAAAGCAGTCGAGAGATATGGATATAGTAAAAGAGAGCTTGGAGAACGTGAAAACGGCAACAATTAAAATTTAGAGCTTTGGATGCCAACGAGCATGTGATTGAAGATTTAAAGTGATAGAACTAATTTATGGGCTTGAAACTGACAGTTTACATTTTTATATTGACTAAGATCAACAAGATATTAATATTTAATTAATACATCAAGAAAATATATGTTTTATTATAAAAATCAATAGTTTTTAAACATTTTCTGTAATTTAATGCGAAAGCGATTTCTTTAGTAGTCTTAAGCCACGCAGAAACAAAGAGAGATATGATGATCAATTTTTGTATTTATATATATCGCATGATTATGGCAAGTATAAATATGAATCGGTATTTATAAAGGTATCGGTATTTATTTATAAAAAAAAGTATAACAATTTACTGAACAGTGCTGCTGTTTTATCGATCTATAGAAAACTGAACAAGTGTAGGTTCCACTGTAAGTGATTAAGTAAACACTCTCGCAATGTTCAGCAAACACTCACGTGGGGGGAGAGACTGGAGGATATGCAGAGGGAGAAGGGGCGAATCGGCACAGTGGAACGGGCCAAGGCCAAGGTGCTAAAAAAAGCGAAAAGGAGCAAAGGAGCCAAAACGGTGGCAGACAAAGAAGCATGCGTGCCACTGTGCCTGAACTTGTTCAAGGTCAGTCCTTAGCGACAGCGACATGCTAAAAAAAAGAAGAAAATTCCAACCAGAAGAGCATACAGGCAGTAACAATAACAAAACCTCGCTGGCCAAGTTAAAAGCGGCGAAAAGAGCGAAGGGAAAAGAATACAACAAAAGAGCGAGCGAGAGAGCGACTGTGCGCCCCCGCAGCAACAACAATGGGCTGCTGTTCAATGATGCTGATAAGGAAAAAGACAAAAACCCTCAAGAGCACACAAGACAAAAAAAGATAAAGCCCCAGAGCTGGCTTAATTAATTTCTGAAATTTTATGATTTTTATGATTTTATTCACCTGTTTTTGGTTTTCTGCGTTGCCTCTTCATTTGCCTTCCATTTATCCTTCCAGAAAAAAATTGTATTGGTTGTTTTTTAGTAAATTAATTTGCAAAAGAAACACACGCACACGCACCCATTTCAGGTAACAGTTTAAAAACACAGTTGGAGCGAGAGAGACAGCAAATTGGGAGTGCTAATTTAACACACACGCGCACACTGTTGTGAATTTTTATATATTTTTGGCAACAATTTGTTGTTGGCAGCTGGAATAAATTTATTTAACACAATTTTCATGCACACATGGACACACCAATACACACGCGGCGAAAAGGAATGCAAAAGAAGAAGAAGATGCAGGCTGAAGGATGCTGGGCCTGGATTTCTTTTTTTCACTGCGCCTTGTGGGCGTAAAAAACTCTTTTAGTCACTTTGTATATGTTTTGATTTGTTGCCGTAAGATTCTTTTTTTATGCGTAATGTTTTTTTTTTAAATATAAACTTAAAAAAACATAAAAACCGCCACCACTCATCGAAAAAACCACAGCGCGGTTAAAATTTATTTAACATCTTGTCATAATTTCAACAGTTTTAGCTGTACACAGTATCAATTAGTAGAAAATTGTAAACGGCGTTATACTGACAACGATTGCTATTTTTTCCTAGTTTTTATATATTTTTTAATATTCTTAAGTGGGAAAGAAAACACAAGCAGCGCGTCTAAGTGAAATTCACAGAGTGAGAGGGTGCTAAATGCTCGTTCGCTCACAAATGTTATAATGCTCTTCTCTGTTAATGCGGCGAAATTCTCTGTTAACTGCTACAGTGGCGTAGAAACTACGGGGGATGGTTATATATTACTCAGACGAACTTTCAAGTATCGAACTTTCCAAAATTTGAATCAAGTTAAGCTACTGGCTTATATTTAAAAAATATATTTAAATAAAATGAGTAATTTTAACTATTCTCTAGCTTGAACCAATCGTATATATTTTGAAAGGTTCTAGACAAACTTTTTGCCTATCCTGAAAAAATATTTGGAATATATTTATTGAATATAGTTCATTTATCAATTTTCGGTCTTTCAAATATAAAAAAGTTAAAAATTATATATTTAAAATTCCTTCTGGTAACCCCCACTGGCCACAACCTGAATACACCACTGAAATGTTACTGAACGAGAGACTCTCTTTCTTTTACTTTCGCAAGAGCGTGCTTAGGGATGATAGTAAGATATCGATAGGCGCTTAAATTTTGGGGTGACCATTAAAAATAGAGAAACCTTATTATTAAAAAAGAATTTGTAAGATGTATATTTTGCAATATCTAACGAACCGAAAGATTTCCTAAAATTACTCACACGCCACATATGGCGGCTTGATGATTTAAATCAATTAAATTTATGCAACTAACGACTATCCTATTAAACAATACCGTTGTTTGCGATAGTTTAGCTAACGCTAGCGCCTACCGATATATTTTAATCACTGATAGATACCTCAAATGGTACTTTATTTGAAATTGTCAGTCGTTAAGATGTTTTTAAAAATGCCATTTAAGTTTCCGTTTCACACACCCAACAAGTGTATTGAAAAAATTAAAGCAGTGCAATTTCCTTTTGCAACATGCAGCAGATAAGGAACATTTTAATGAACAAATACATTTTTTGTAAAAATGAGAGAATAAAAATATACAAATACAATTTTAATTCCCACAGTCAGGGAACCGCAGCACATGTTTTCCGAACTTTAAGAATGAGTATAATGAAGTTATTCCCGAAAGTATATCTAGAAGATAATGACAGATTTTTAGAGAACCAAACCAAGTTTTAAGACGTATGCACCATTTAATTAGTTAAAGTAATGGACTCTTTTTATTAAACTTTGTGATATGTTAAAAATAGCTAACATGAAAAAAATGTCTCCACCCTAAAATGACAAATTCGAATGCAAACTTTTAGAGAATCAAGCCACATATCATAAGAGATAAAATTTGGTAAATTTGGTAAAGTTATGGTAAAGTCAATAAGCCCAAGTGTGGGTCACCTTTTCACATGTAATCGGAAACTAAGAACTAACTAACATTAGAACAAATTAGAATAACATTTGCAACGGTATAAAAAGAAATAGTTTTGGGTGGCCTTAAAGAGCGTTTGCTTCCATCTGAGAGTAATCTGATAAGAAATTTCAAATTCAATTAATTTATCGCATATTAAACTCACGATGCTGAGTAAATTTATGAAGATTTATTCAATGCAGCTATCGATAAATGTACTGCGTTGCAACTTCCATCTTCAATGTAAAGTTAGAAGTTGAGCAAAAATTGCAGAGCAAAAACCAATTCGCGAGCATGTGCTCATTAAATGATAACGAGGAACTCCAAGTTCCCACCGTAAGGGAAGTGCAACAAACGTTTGCCGAGCTACTAAGCCATGGTGAAGATATAACCTGGGACCTGTAAGTACTGACCAAGATCGGTAACATAAATATAACAGGACTGTATCTACAGATTGTCAGCCGATCAGGGAGACATTCTAAAAAGCAAGATAAAGGAGCTTAAAACGATGCAAGGCTTCCCTGGTGGAATTCCATTCTTTATGAATCAGGAGTTTTTTAAATCGATTTGGAATATGAGTAAGACAATATTTGCCACATTAAAATAATTATTCGCCTGATATGCTATTTCACCAGGAAAATACACAAATGGCCAGTCTCTTACGTCCCTATTTTTTGTGTTGATTGTGGATGATGTCACCGATCCGAAACTGGCGGAGCAAAGCAGATCCTGGTATCTTTATCCGGTCTTCCGTTGTCGGCGTTGCGTGGGTAAATTACCAACAGTAACATATTCATGATGAAATATACTCTATTAAAATTAAAGAAAGATAATGCAAATTCTAAATGTTTATTAACAGACAATCACGACGAACATTATAGCAGCTTGGATTGTTGCATGGTATATGTGAATCAGTACTTCTGTTATGAAGATTGGGATAAGTTCGTGGAAAATGCGAGCTTTCGTCCCGGACTAATGGTGACCCCATATTGCGGTGTCTACAAACTGATCGATGGTCAGGTTGAGCTAAGGACATATTCTATTTTTGGACGAAACCTTCAGATATTTTCATTGATCAACGAGCACTGCATAACGCCCGAAACTTTGTCGAAGTCCTCTTATCAGTCCATCTTACGTCTCGTTTCGGATACCAATATGGGACGATTCGATGGTTTTACTCTTGAAAGAGAAGAACCAAAGCGCGATAAGATACTACCTAAGCAGTTGGTACGGTGTATAAGCTTTCTTTAATTATTTATTTTAAAATTATTCTCCATTAGATTCCTCGGCAAAACCACAAATCCTTAATTTTATTTACACATAGCATTAATAACATTCGTCTGGCAATGTCAATGATCGAAGAACCTAATTTCCGCAACGTTTTGGGAAATCAACTTAAGTAAGATTTTAACATATTATTTGCCATTTGCTAAATTTGAATTATTTTCAGGATTGTTTTTGACAAAATCTCAGAGGAAACCAAAAGTTTTAGGGGAAACGTTGATCTTGTGCGCAGTGCCAATATAGTGCCAACAAAAAAAGAGCTAAATGAGATTTTAAAGCCCAGTTTGAAAGGCTTTAAGAAACGTAAACTAACCGAAGATCAAAGTGACGTTTCTGTGATTCCTATTGAGTCTCTCAAAATAAACGAAATCCAGATAAAAGACGAAAAAGTAAATCTGGATGATTATGGAACTGCACTTAAAGAACACATTGTAAGCATGGATACCTTTGAAGACCTTATCACCATAATGGCGGAGAACTTGGAACCAGAAATGTTTAAGCTAATCCTGCATTTTACCCAAACTTCGATGGAAACCACCAGAAAGGAGTTGTGGCTGGAGCGGAGACACTATTTATCCACGGAGACCGTTCTCTATCAGATCATTTTGTATATAATGAAACAACATTCCAATTTGGACCACAATGAAATTAAGGAGCAGTCTTCAGAGATTTTACGCAGAATGCGATATTATTTTGCTTCAACTACTCCCAATTCTCCTCCTGAACTTCTAACAAAATGCACAAAGTGTATAGGCTTCTATCGTAAGGTTCCAATTTAATATGCAGTCTCACAATTCTAGAATTATTGGAGCTATTGCAGTTTTTTTTTACCAGAAAAACATTTAAAATTTCTGTGTGGTGTTTTATTGTTCAACGCACATCCTGTTTGAAAGCCAAAGTAAAAGCATTTTAGTCAAACCATTTCACCCGAATTTTTGGTAGAAACCTCTAAACACTTGTTATTCGTCAAGTCGATTTTCGGCTACAATACTCCTATTCAATTTTGACCTTTTCAAGAGACACTTTCAAAAAATACCATATCAATTTATTGGAATCTTATCTCTATTCATTTTATGAATATATGATATATATATTTTATATATTTTATACTTTACCAAAAATGTTTTAAAAATATAGAACCAAAATATTAAAACATTGAAATTGCATTTTTGGGCATTGTCAACAATTCTATATTCTTTGCTGGGGTAAGATAATATGTTTAAGTAAATATAATACGTATATAATCTACAGCTACTTAAGTGATCTACAACTAGTAAAGCCAGGTGCCAGCAGAAACGCTCCTTCGGCTCACTGATCTCCAACTGGATTCGATTCTCTAGGAATAACCATGCCGTCGCCGCTCCCAGGATATAGGGAAGGACCCTCACAAAGGGTGAAGTGTAGATATCCGTTCCAGTGGCAAAGGTGATTAAATAGTAGCAGCAAATGATTTCCGAACTTTGAGAATGAGTTTAATAAAGTCACTTCCGAAAGTATGTCTAGAAGATAATGACAGATTTTTAGAGAACCAAACCAAGTCTTATGACGTATGAACCATTAAATTAGGTAAAGTTATGAACTCTAGAAGTTAAACTTTCTGATATGTTAAAAACAGCTAACATGGAACAAATTTATCAACCCTTAAATGACAGATTCGAATTTCAAATGCAGAATTTTAGAGAATCAACCAAAAATCTTAAGAGATATGTCACTTTGAAATCGGCTTAAATTTGGTAAAGTTATGGTCCATAAGCCCAAGTGTGGGTCACATTTTTACAAGTCATCGGAAACTAAGAATTAATTTTTTTTTTTTTTTTTAACTTAAAATATTATTTATTTGTAAACATAGAACCCGTACAATCTTTTAGTACCTTGACAATGTAGTTTTGTATATGAATTTGAACCAAACCTCATGCCTTCAGCAAAAGGACTTTATAAGAATTAATTAACATGAAATTAAAAAGAAATTGTTTGGGTCACTTTAAAGAGAATTTGCTTCCATCAGAGAGAAATCTGATAACAAACATTAAATTCAATTCACCTATCGCAAATTAAACCGTTACATTAACTCACGATGCACGAGTAATTTATGAAGATTCAATGCAGCTATCGATAAATGAACTGCGTTGCAACTTCCATCTTCAATGTGCAATAAGAGTAAGGGAAAAAATTGCAAAGCAAAGACAAATCGCGAGGATGAGCTCATCAAATGAAAACGAGGAACTCCAAGTTCCCACGGTAAGGGAAGTGCAACAAACGTTTGCCGAGCTCCTAAGCCATGGTGAAGATATAACCTGGGACCTGTAAGTACTGACCAAGATCGGTAAGATAAATATAACAGCACTGTATATACAGATTGTCAGCCGATCAGGGAGATATTCTGAAAAGCAAGATAAAGGAGCTTAAAACGCTGCAGGGCTACCCCGGTCGAATTCCATTCTTTATCAATCTGCCGCTTTTTAAATTGATTTGGAATATGCGTAAGACAACATTACATTAAAATAATTAATTTAAATAATTAAAAGTCTGAAGTGCTATTTCACCAGGAACATACACAAATGGCCAATCTCTTACGTCTCTATTTTTTGTGTTGATTGTGGATAATGTCACCGATCCAAAACTGGCCGAGCAAAGCAGATCCTGGTATCTTTATCCGGTCTTCCGTTGTCGGCGTTGCGTGGGTAAAAAAAAAATTCCAACCATTTTATTATTAAAATCATAAGTCAGCTTATCATTTAAAAAAAATCCTAAAACAAAGTTCGATTATTATACTTGTTAGAAAGATAATGCTAATTCTAAATGTTTATTAACAGACAATCACGGCGAACATTATAGCAGTTTGGATTGTTGCATGATATATGTGAATCAGTACGACTGTTGCGAAGATTGGGATAAGTTCGTGAAAAATTCGCGCTTGCGTCCCGGACTAATGGTGACCCCATATCGCGGTGTCTACAAACTGATCGATGGTCAGGTTGAGCTAAAGACATATTCTATTTTTAGTCGAAACTTTCAGAAATTTCCATTGACCAAAGAGCACTGCCTAACGCCCGAAACTCTGTCGGCGGCCTATAATCAGTCCATCTTACGTCTCGTTTCGGATACCAATATGGGACGATTCGATGGTTTTACTCTTGGAAGAGAAGAACAAAAGCGCGATAAGATACTATATAAGCTATTGGTACGGAGTCTAATCTTTCTTTTACTATTTATTTTAAATTTATTTTCTATTAGATTTCTCGGGATGACCACAAATCGACTGAAGCAACTACACTTTCCGACTCTTTAGTTTTATTTACACATAGCACAAATAACATCCGTCTGGCAATGTCAATGATCGAAGAAACTAATTTCCGCAACGTTTTGGGAAATCAACTTAAGTAAGATTTATACATATTATTTGCCATTTGCTAAATATGAATTATTTTCAGGAGTGTTTTTGACAAAATCTCAAAGGAAACCAAAGGTTTTAGGGGAAACGTTGATCTTGTGCGCAGTGCCAATATAGTGCCAACAAAAAAAGAGCTAAATGAGATTTTTTTGAAAGGCTTTAAGAAACGTAAACTAACAGAAGATCAAAGTGACGTTTCAGTGATTCCTATTGAGTCTTTCAAAATAAACGAAATCCAGATAAAAGACGAAAAGGTATATCTGGATGATTATGGAACTGCACTTAAAGAACACATTGTAAGCATGGATACCTTTGAAGACCTTATCACCATAATGGCGGAGAACTTGGAACCAGAAATGTTTAAGCTAATCCTGCATTTTACCCAAACTTCGATGGAAACCACCAGAAAGGAGTTGTGGCTGGAGCGGAGACACTATTTATCCACGGAGACCGTTCTCTATCAGATCATTTTGTATATAATGAAACAACATTCCAATTTGGACTACAATGAAATTAAGGAGCAGTCTTCAGAGATTTTACGAAGAATGCGATATTATTTTGCTTCAACTACTCCCAATTCTCCTCCTGAACTTCTAACAAAATGCACAAAGTGTATAGGCTTCTATCGTAAGGTTCCAATTTAATATGCAGTCTCACAATTCCAGAATTATTTATAATTCTTCCAGTGTTTCCATTCTCATTTCTCATTTCTTCATTCTCTCTCAACATTTACAATTTCTGTGTGGTGTTTTATTGTTCAACGCACATCCTGTTTGAAAGCCAAAGTAAAAGCATTTTAGTCAAACCATTTCACCCGAATTTTTTGGTAGAAACCTCTAAACACTTGTTATTCGTCAAGTCGATTTTCAGCTACAATACTCCTATGCAATTTTGGCCTTTTCAACAGACGCTTTCAAAAAATGCCATATCAATTTATTGGAATCTTATCTCCATTCATTTTATGAATATATATGTATTTTATATATTTTATACTTTACCAAAAAAATGTTTTAAAAAGATAGAACCAAAATATTAAAACATTGAAATTGCATTTTTTGGCATTGTCAACAATTCTATATTCTATGCTGGGGTAAGATAGTATGTTTAAGTAAATATAATACGTATATGATCTACAGCTACGTAAGTGAACTACAACTAGGGGTTATCTTATTAAGTATGGTGGCCACCGATGTACAAGATATTTAGATATGTATATATATATAGCATTGACTAAGACAAGACTAAGCTAGTGATTCGATAATGATGAGTAGTTGTACATGAAAGCGATCACAATTGTCAGATGGAGGCGTGTGCGTTGACCTTAACGATCTAATTTAGGGCTAGCATCTTTAGGCACTTTTCGGCTTGCTCTGCCGTCGGTTTAGCAAACTGGAAAGATTGCTGAACGGCAGCTCGAAGGCCAGCGAAAAGAGGATGGAGGCCAAGTAGACGATGACAGCGAAGCCGCAGGTGACCACGCACTGGATTAGAAAAATAGTATTATTAAATATAATAAATAAAATAAATATTATATTGAAATTACATACCAGCATAAAGGGATCTGCATGCGTGCTGGCGTTTGTTAAACTGTAGAATAAAGCAATGACCAGCGGATTGAGCAGGTAAATGGCGTAGGACAGCCGACTGACATGTTGGAAGCCCTTGGCCTCCAGCAGTCGTGACCACCACACTCCCCGCCCACTGCAGCTGCGCGCTATCATCCAGCATACACTCAGCGAAAAGAATAGGCGACCCATCACGAAGAGCGTAATGGCCATCAGAGGTCCCAGATCCCTTTTCACAGTCGAGTAAATGCAGGCAAAGAACACTAGTAAAGCCAGGTGCCAGCAGAAACGCTCCTTCGGCTCACTGATCTCCAACTGGATTCGATTCTCTAGGAATAACCAAGCCGTTGCAGCTCCCAGAATATAGGGAAGAACTCTCACAAAGGGTGAAGTGTAGATCTCCGTTCCTGTGGCAAAGGCGGCATCGAAGGACAATTGGAACTTGATGCTCAAGCCGATGCTGTAGGACCAGGCAATGGTGGCCACAAAAGAAGAGGCCACCAGGGCTTTAACTATCTTCGGATATCTGTTTGTTAAGGAAAATATAATAATTAAAAATCGTATTCTAAGATTTTAATGAAGTTTAATCCCACTTACTTTACATATAGGAACAGCAGAGCATTAGCCAGAATAAAGAACTGCATCTCACAGGCCAAGGACCAACTCCAATTGGCGCACATATCCCGATGATCGAATAGGTTTTGGATGAACAGCAGATTGCGCCACCAGTGCTTGGAACACATCTCATCGAATCGCTCGTTGATGTGGTAAACCGAGACATCTCCAATATAAGCGTACACCAAATCCACGGTGGCCATGACCACCAGGTAAAGTGGTCCCAGGCGCAAGTACCGATGGAAGAGCAGTTTGCCAAAGAGCTTAAGATTTCCAACGAAACTATTCCGACGCACTGCCTCCAGTTGTTGGGAGTTCCTTAGGAAGTTAAACGTTTGCAGGAAGCCACTGGAAAATAAAACATGAATATATTTGAATTAATAAGTTTAGTAATAAAATCGGAGTTTATAGTTAAAAATATACAAATTTGACGATTATAACTGAAAGGCCTTTAGATTTCATACTATTTTTTGTATGCTACTTTG